GACGACGTCGACGCATGAGGGAGTATCAGCACGCAGTGAAGCTGCTCGGCCTACCTGCGATGCGCACACAGCCACGGAAGCCTGTCTGTATGCAAAGCTCGTAATTACACCACCCAGCTTAGCTAGTCCTCGTCTCCGACACTGCCGGTGACACCTCCGCCAGCAATGATCAAACATGCTTAAACAGGCACAACTGATGGCTGGTAGATCAGCGTCATGCCCAGCAGCCAAATCTCCCTCCGCTTGGTTATTGTGAAAAGCCACAAAGGAGTTATCCGGATCCTGAGAGTCAGTCAATACACAGAACCCACCCCTGAGATTTGCTTGCCATGGCACCGGATCCGACGCGGAATCTTGATTGGGCATCTGTTGCTCAGGGATCATTTCCAGAAACTGGCGAATCTCTCGGCTCCCTTGCGAGCAATCGGGGACATCACCACCAGGCTCAGCTGGCCATGAACAATGGAGATGCATGATCTTCCAGAAACCGACCAACGCCCGCCACCATCTCGCCCCCGCAGTGGCGAAGGGATGAAGGCAAAGGAGCAGGAATGAGCATGTCTCGTAGACCTGCCCAGCGTGCATGAGTGGTGCACTCTACAATCGTCTTGAGGGCAACACCACCAAACTGACTCGCAAAATTCAGCTTACCCGCAGCACATGACGACAAAGTAGCTACCTCTGTGCGACAGAAGAGCGGTGACAGCGAACGCTCCCGACGGCTCTGATTCAACGCGCTATTTATCTGACTCTGGAAGCGGTGGGCGCGATCAGCACCCAGCGGTCTCCTCACAGCCGATGACAGGCGACACTCTGTATGTCAATGGACATGAGTACGCCGATATACCCGCGGCGTCTCTGGGCGCCGCCGGAGCAGGAGCGCGAAGCACAGGGCAACAGACACAGACAAGGTCGACCAGGGGTCCAACCCCGCTTCGTCACGAGGCCTATACTTACAGTTGTTCAGTGGTAGTCGACATTGGCATGCGTGGTACGCGAGGAATCATTCAGACACGCTTCAAGGTCCAATGTCTAACAGCGGTTGGCCTCGGTATTCCTGTATTCCAGGCAAGAGCTCATGGTATCGTGGTTTGGGTATCAATAGAGGCCGCTTTCATTTGCCATACAAGTCATTTGCCATACAAGCCTGTCATCATGTATGGTGGGTACGTCTGGGCGTTCAGTCGCGAGATTCTTCAATTTGCTTTTTCTCACTATAAGCTAGCTCGATCAGCACCCCAATTACCCCCGGCAAGTCCGAGCAGCAACCAGCAGATGGCCGACCCGTCGGTACGAGACTCGATTTTCATGCGGAAACACTCACATGTACAACGACATGCTGCTGCATGACGCCGACCGCTGTTCCAATGCTTGCAGCGATTCCATGCGCGAGTCCAGCGACAGCCTTGAAAGTTACATGCAGATAAAGACGCACCGGTGAGGATTGCACTTGTAGGCACATGGCGATGAACAAACAGGGCGGGCCGGGCAAGGTCAACCTTGCAGAGACAGACACCCCTGACAGCCACAAGGTTCGGTGCGGTCCTGTTCCAGTAGTCGGTCGGCGTGACTTGCGCGTGGCCTGGCTGGCGGCGGGCGGCGAGCGGGCGCTCGGCGGGCTTTAACCCGTTCAGAGCGTGATGTGGCCAAAGAAGGTTTGGGGCCGTTGAGGCCAGAAGCGCTGCCTGGTCCTCACCGGCTTCTTCCATCCAGCCAACAGTGGCGGGGGGGGGGCGACGGCCTACCAGAATGCTTACCTAGGTAAATGGTCTTCGTGCCCACACACATCACAAGGGGACTCAGCTGTGCAGGTCCTGGTCGCGTCGTGGTTTTCACCGCCATCGCCACGTCGAGGACGTTGTTTTAACGAGATGAGGATAGCTCTGTGGGCCATTTTCGGGCTCCACAACGACCAAAAGTAGTCTTGGGGGGGGGGCAACCCAAGCGCGCATGTTGACTTGCTGTGATGGCTCAGACGGGGACATCGGCGCATGGCAGGCGAGCAGGGTCGCCAGGCCGCAAGGGTTGTCATGGCAGAGGAGGGGTTCGACAAAATAGCAGATGGCCCCAGGGGACAGGATCACCATCGGCCACCAAGCATATGACCCGAAGGAAGGGAATGGCCCCTCGCCCAGCCCTTGGGCTTCGAGCTCGAGAGGTGGGCCGGCGGCCTTTGGTGGTCGACTCTCAAGCCCCTTCCCAGTTTCCACCCACCATCGGCTGACCG